ATGTCTCAGTCTGGATCAAAGCGATATCAAATAATCAACAGAGTTTTGTGCTCTCGAGATCTTTGCCACCAGCTAGCATGACTAAAAATAATGTGGCGGTTTGGCTTTAATGTGCCTTAATTAGCCAGAAACAAATGAAACAGATTTTTCTCTCTTTTTTTTTTGACTCACAATTATCAGCTTGCTAAGAATTTCACCTGAGGTACGGCCAGCCCATTATTACTGTTGCTACTCACACTGCTACTACCAAGAATGCTGAGCTCTTCTCTGACTTATATCACTGTTTTATTGTCTGTAATCACATTTTGTAGGCGCCTGTAACAAAGTTGTGCTTACATTAAACAGGCAATAGTAAGCCTGAATATTTTACATCCTGCACTGTTTTTAATGGGATTTGATTTGTTGCTGTTAGCTCAACCTATCGAGAGACACAAGTGGCACAGACTCTGAGAGTTTGCTCACTCTTGACCTTTAAACTGTGGCAGATAAAGACAGTGAGGAGGTTGAGGATGTAAACTGATGCTATGACATTAACTATGGTGCAAAATGTGAAGACCTGCAAGATGATGAGAATAGGTATGCATCTGTGTGCATTGAGGGTCTGTTTTTGGAGTTATCTGATACATGCTGATTTGCTGGCACACAGATTGTATTGTCTGACAGTGAATTGGAGTGTATCCCAGTGCACCAGATGATGCAGGTATATCTGTTACCTGGATTGTTGTCCTTGTCACACCACACGTCTTCCTTCCTTCCTTTCGGCTGTTTATATTTAATTCATTGAAAACCAAGAGCATGAAAACAGTCAGCGGAGCACACAGCTTTGACCAGGATGAATTTGTCCCGGCTGAACATACTTTCTTTTAGAGAAACAGCGTGCCCTCAGCTCTTTCCCACTGTCATCACAGTGCGTTCAGTTGGGTTTGTGCTGATTAGAGAGGCTTAAGCACCTGGCAGACAGCTCCCTCAGAGCTGGAGAGAATGTCTCTGCATGGCTGTCAGCCTGGCGGTGCAAAACAAGAGAGAGGGGCAAGTTAGGGCAGGGACACGAGGTGTGTGTGTGGGGTATTTGCATCTGTTTGATTCCCATGAAGCAGTCCTAGGAAGAGTCGCATCACATGAATGTCAGTTTGTCTGTGTTGACATTTATGTGTGTGGTGTTGTATCTAACTGTCTCAAACTGATGCTTTGTACAATACATTTTAACTCTACTGAGCAACTCATCTGTCTTTCTCTTCGCCCTCATTCCTACCGTTCTGTCCTGCACATGTAGGAGAGCAGCGACTCCATAAAAATAAATCACTTGTCCGGCCCTTTTGAAACTGTCTTCACTCTAAGTCAATCTTTCTTCTAGGTTTAGAAAAGGGCATTTTGGTGTCAGGCAGAGCCGTAGCTACCGCTCAGGACAGTGAGGTCACAGCGACCTGCAGGGAGGTTTACATTCTACAGATAAGATGAAGTAACACGTTGGTATTTTACAGGCTGAGTCCAGCACTACTGACTGCATAAAGTTAAATGTTTGCTTTTTTAGCCCCCAAAAAATAAGATTTTCCAACTCACCCTCCAAAATGTGAGGCCTGACAGTATAATACTAATTTATGTACATAAAATTTACATAAATTATAGTTGAACAGTGAACCTAAGTGTTTAGGTTGTGTAGTTAGTTGCAGTTCGATAAATGTTAAGAAAATAAAAATAAATGATTACTCCTAAAATAAAAATTAAATGAAAAAAATTAATCAAAAATCACTTTACAGTGTGGTGTTGTTCATCTAAACTCAGCAGGCATAGCTACAAGTTAATAAGTATTATATATCATGAACACACTTCACTGCTGTCTGATTCACTGGCTGTAGTTTGTTTACTTTAGTTGGTGATGCAACACATTTCCTCAGCCCCCTCTGTGTCTGTTTACTGCCAGAGAATCCATATTTTACCAAAACAAATTTACCAACAGATGTTGACTCATTTACAATGTTCTATTTAAATCCACCATTATTTACATGTCATAAAATTTCATCATAATTCCCCCCTTGAGCAGATATATATATATATATATTTTTTTACATATTGTTTTTCCTCTCTGGAGGCTGAAGTCTGCAACGTATAAACTGGATAAACTGGTCATGCAGTATCACATCCATTAGATTTAGTGTGTTTATCCAAATCGGAGATGTAAACATCAGTTTGGGGTTCATACATAATCACTAGGAGCCCGTTAATACGGTCAGCATCCACACAATCCAGCAGTGACAGATGGTGTCTTTAATATGACAGTGATTAATATGGACACAATTACAATGTGATCACAGCACCAGTGATAATATGAGCCCCTCATTAACATGCAGTCATGCCCCACCCATCACTCCAGGCCTCCCCGCTCAAGTGTGTTCTGTCATGGTAACTAGAAAAATGTTGTCCTAAAACTGACTCTCATGTCAACTCTCTGCTTACATCTGTTGGCCGAAGTATCCTCTTTAGTATTGAGTTGTATTAAAACAGTGATCTGTTTCATCTTGTTACTATGCACATGGTAACACGTGATTCATTTCTTTTCTTTGCTTTGTAAACTGCTTTTGTCTGACTTGCTCGGTAGGATCACGACCATGGGAATGTTTTCCATTTGTTCAGATGTCACACATTCCATGTCATGTCTGCTCAGCACACCAGGAAGTGAACAAACCGCCTGGCTGCAGATTGGTTTTGAGGTGTTCTCAATGGAAATTAAAAAGAAAAAAAAGAATTTGTTGCAACAACAGAAATTTCACTCAAAAACAAGTTTAAAAGCTGCTCCTCTAGATCAGAAAATTCATCTCTTGATTAACTGAGGAATTTCAGATCCTCTGTCGTCCTCTGTGTTCTCGCTGCATAGAACACTTTAATGTAGTGCTGCTGGAAACAATAGGGAACATTTTTCACATGTGTGACCATGTGCAGTGGAGCTGCAGGCCTCTTTTTAAAAATGTTTCACATCTTGTTTTGGGACAAGATTAGTTTAATTCACTGACTCCCCCTTGTGGCAAAACAATAAAGTTATGTGTCTGTTAATGAGGTCTGAGGAACATTATCTGTGCTGCCATATATATATATATCTATATTGGAATTGTGTATAATCAAACAAAGCAGTGTATTGTTATTTATTTAACAGAGCAAAAGCTGTGAGAGAGCCACCCGTGACGCCTTCCTACCTCAAATCCCTGACAACAGCTTTCTCTTTCCTTTCAATGTTTACATGTATGATCTCACTTTGATCTGTGTCCTAACTGACCAATCCGGGGCAAGCATGCCTGCTGATGGGGAGCAACAGTGGGGATGCTGGGTATCTTGTTGAGCAGAGGCGGGGGGGGGGAGAAAGAGAGAGAGAGAGAGAGGGATGGCAGGAATTAGGCAGCTGAGGATTAGTGTCTGAGCTCTGATTGTCTATTGGCTGTAGAGACCGTCTCTGCTCTGCATTGCCCTGAACTGACAATAACAACTTCATCAAAAACAAGCAAGATTATCATGCTGTCATCGCAGGATGTTTTTTTGAACTGACAGACTGCAGACTGGACCTTTTTTAGATCTCATTTTTGTTCTTCTTTCTTTTACACAACTTAGACATAATTTTGTTGCGCTTTTACATGAGAGGGAACATGGTGGTGCTTCTGACTAATAACTCCAGTGCTAATATCCACTGTTTTCCAACAATCTTCAAGAGGAGAGGTAAGTGAAAGCAGCGCATGTCAATTGTTTCTAAGTTTGAGACAATGCCTGATTGGTTTATAACCCAAGCCAGTTTTTCATTCTCTGATTTGTTGAAATTTCTTTTTTTGCTGTTCAAGTATTTCCAGGTCAGGCTGGATCGACCGGCTCGCCTAAGACAGGCAATAAAGTAATTAAAGTGTGGTCATTCACTGTAGATGTCAACCATAAAAAAACTGTCACCGTCAGTGTGTAATGTTTACTCTGCTGATACATAACGTGCTGTGATTCATAGTCCCACTTTAACTGTTGATGCTTGTCAGGAAAACAAATAATTGGAATTTTGTGTATTTATAGATACTTGATTATTGGAATTCTAACGCCAGAGCACCCGTAATGCTGTTACAGAAGAGGCAGCGGTAACAATTAGTAACGATCACTGAGCACATGGCTGTCAGGGCTAATTCCAGCATGGTCTTAGAGCGACAGCGCGGACAGTAGAGTGCAGTAGGTGGCTAAATGTAGAGCAGCTGTCAGCATTACATAAAAGTGTCTTAGCAGGTTGTTTAGCCCAATGATCCCAGACTGTGCCCTGGAAGCATGAGGGCACCACATTTATCATAGAGCTTCATCACATGCCAGCAAATTGAAAGCTACTGTAACATTATCATTGATTTTATGTAGTTTCTTACTTGAAATTATTATTAAATCTTTTTAAATTCTATCTAAAATGCAGAAATGACAATAACCCATACAGAGTTTTGCACTTTCTGAGTAAAGTCGTGACATTAAAACCAGAAACTCAACTTTGATTTTGTGTGACAGTAAGTCACTAGAGGAGGTTTTTCAGGTTTTTGCAGTTCGTATGACTTTTGTCACTTTTTTGGATGGTGCCCATTGTTAATGATGTGGTGTTTCAGGTATTTTATAATGAGTTGATGAAAGATTGAACTGATATACTATACATGCAAGATGTTACAGCAATTTAATTAGTGTCCTTTTCACTGTCTAATTAAATAGTACTTAGGCCAGAAAAAAAAGTGTAATACCAAGCATATGTTGCTGGAGGTAGAGTTTTGATTTGATAATCCTCTCTTAAAAGTCATTGTCAGAGTCACTTGAGTTTAATCCGGCACAAGTGGAACTGGAGTTCAGCCTTTTTAAATGCACTCACACTCTCAAACATATTTACCGTTCTAGCGCTTAAATGTCTCTGGCAGATACCTGACTGCCCATATGGACCCCTCATCTGCTGTTACAGTAACACAGAGCTTTGGGTTGATCCAGGCTGATCCCCTCTCCCTTCTCTTTACTTCAAGCTCTCCCAAAGCGAGGTGATGACAAGACCCCGGCACCCCCGCTGCTCCAGGAGAATGTGTTCATTGAGGCCAGCAGGCCCAAGTACCTGGAGGACCTTCACTCAGAGGCCCTGGAGGCATTGAAAATGATGCAGCAGGAAGGTACGATTCACTCTCGTGATAACGCTCTTTACACCTCAGCACTAAATTAGAGGTGTCCCGTGCCAGCATGTTGATAATGGTCTGCATATTGCTCAAGAGGGTGTGCACCAGAGGATATATAAACACTGTTTTGAATGTCATTTTAAATCTACAGAGTTAAATGTTCCCTTGCTTGCAGAAACCAATAATGGAGTGGAGTACCAGGATAATGAAAGCACCATTGTAAGTGACTTTTGTAAGAATTGCTGTTTTCTTACACACACACTGCAAATTCACTGTTCTTGAGCAAGTGATTTTTTTTTTCTTCTCTCTCTCCTTTTGCCAGTCAACAATGACGATCCAAACAGACGGAGAAGGTGGAGGTTTTATGACAGACAGCACCATTCCTGACACATCCTCTGTCGTCTCTGTACAATCATCCGTGTCCACTAGATCGTCCCGCTCTGGACTCACCAGGCAAGGTAACCTCACCATAGTTCAGATATTCCTCTTGGTCATTACACAACATATAGTGATGCACACACACAAAGTTGTATAAAATTATTTAACTTTTAATGGGTGACACGTAAAGATTGGTTTCAGTTTAAATTTAATTTTTTTTAAGGATCAAAGAATTAAGTCTCTTTCTCTTTTCTCTCATGCTTCGCTTCTCCCAGGATCAACATTCAGGCCCTTGAACTCTGGGAAAAAGTCAGAAAAGACGAAAAGGAGAAGACACAGGAAGACTGTCGTGGGTATCCCACAGCATGTTCAGAGAGAGCTGGGTACGCAGCTAGTACTTTAAATGTGTTATTTACAAAAGACATCTGTCTGGGAATGTCTTTAAATTGTATGTGCCATGTTTACAAATTTCACGGTATTAATGTTACTGTGTTGTGTTTAGAAACAATAGAATGCTTTATTTGCATTTCCTTAATTGTTATATGAACTTGTGCTAATTGGTCCTCCTGTCTTCTATCAGGGTTGGACAGAGTGGGTTGGACAGTGACTCAGAAGTTAGATGAGGAACATTATAATGGTGAGACTGACGACAGCCCCACCACTGATGGCCCACAGCAGGCAGCAAAAAGGGGAGCTAATGCCAACCTTCAGGGCATGAAGGTGATCCACCCCCTCAACAAAGACCAAGTCGAGCAGCTCGGTGCTACCCATGCTGGTCATAGGGACGACCTGGCCTTGTTACACCGCCTGGGTCCTGACTTGTCAGGTGAACAGAGGCCCCGGTCCCTGGCCGTTCCCTGGATGACCACTGCCAACAGCCTCCAGCAGGAGCCGCCCAGTCCTGTCATGTCCATGTCACCCCAGGCTGCTTACATGTCCAAAATAATTCCCAATGCTGTGTTGCCACCGTCCATCGAGGTGGTAGAAATCAGCCGAGGACGGAGTCGCAGCAGCCTCCGCACTGTCAGCAAGAGCAGCCTGCTGCTCTCCAGCCCAGCCCCCTCCCGTGCTTCCTCTAGAGCCTCTTCATCCAGAACCACCTCCTCCAGAGCCTCCACCATTACCTCCGCCTCCCGCCGCAACTTCCCCAATCTGTCCGACAGCTCTTGTTGGAGCAACTCTGAGTCATCAGAGACCTTAGTGTCTGACTCCTCAACCATCTCCAGCAGCAGCACCCCCAGGCAGCAGAGGTCACAGAACGGAGATGACAAAGTCAGTGTTCACTCCTCCATCAGCAAGGCTTCCAAATGCACCTCCAATGGCAAGCTCATAGGTAAAGGCGATGCAGTTAAGAAAGATGGGCAGTTTGCACGTAGCCTCTCTGTCATGAAGCCCAAGAGGGCTCCTCCTCCTCCAAGCCGCTCCTATTCCCTCCACAATAAGAATAAGCGACGATCACGTGATCTCGCAGAAGTTAGGAACATTTCAGGGGAATCTTCTCTCCATAGAATCACCAGCTCAAGGGAGGAGAATGAGAAAAACAAGTCGAGATCTTCCCCTATGTCCTCCAGAGTCATAGACAGCCCCGGCTACAACGCTGACACCAGTTCTCTGGACGACTCAACAGGCTCCGTGTCATTCAGTCCCACGAAATCCCAGGCGCTAAAGGCAGGGGAAGCTGCAAAGGTTGAGGAAAAAGGTTCCAGAGATACCCCACAGGAGAAGCAGGAACCACTTCAGGAGAATAAGCTAAGCAAAATAATCTCCCCGTCCAGTGGCTACTCCAGCCAAGATGCCACGTCACCACAAATTTCTAAACCGCATCACAGCTCATCTCCAAGTCACAAGAGAGGCATCTTAGCAAAGCTTCAGAGGTTATTTCCTGGGTCCACTTCTGCTGGTTCAGCTCCATCCTCTCTCACACAGCCGGAGGCTCCTGAAAACACTAAATCCACTGGGGACCCTAAATCTGACTCAGTCGACACAGTCAGCACCCCTGTAAGGACCTTGAGAGACCTCTTCAACATCCCTCCGCACCCTAAAGTCCACGCACCTCCGCCCCCTCCTCCAGAGGTATGGGCTCACAGCAAGCGTACCTTTGAGTTGCTGCTGGGACCCCCGGCACCTGAAAATGTTTACGCCATCATAAAGAAGAATCCAAAGGACAGGAGACAGCAGAGGCAATCCCCCTCTGCATCTACAGAGGGCTCTGTGAAGAGCTTGGCGGTAGAAAGAAAACACAAGAATCCAGCTGTAACAGTGGATGTGCTGGAGAGACAGAAAGTTCAAGATAGTGTGATTTTGAATGCAGAGATTCATAAAGAGAATGACGAAAGACTGGCTCAGAATGTAGATTCGAAAGGAAAAAGCACAGTGGCAGAAAAAGATGAGAAAGTAAGAGTAAGTGACATATTAAATGGGATGTTAGTGAAGGCCGTAGAGAAGCGTGAAGAAAGGCTGGCAGCAATGAGAGGAGAAGAAGACGCCAAGAAGACATCCGTACAAGCTACAGAGATAGAGACCCACATCGGTACCCTACCTGCCATTTCATTAGTACAAATTTCTCCATCCCCATCTCCTCCTGTGTCGCACCATCCTCCTCAACCCCTCGCCAAACAGACCACAGAAGTCGCTTCTGTTACATCAGTACGAGCCGTTGTATCCCCAGAGTCGTCCTGGCCCCCACCACCTCCACCAATGGCACAGGCGGGTGTCGGTGGGCCTGATGAGATAGATTTTCCCCTTCCTCCTCCCCCATTGTTTGGTGAGGTAGGGTTAGTCATACCTGTTGAGGTGCCACCAGAGAGGCCTGTTCCTAGTGGTGACTCCTCTTCTACATCTGTTGTATCAGTGGTGACAACAGTGACCACAGAGGCTGAACCACAGAAGTCCAGTTCATCCCAGGGGACTGCACCTCCACCACTGAGTATCCCTCCTCCCCCACCCTATACAGCTCCCCCTCCACCACTTAAAGAAGTCTCCCCTCCAGTCTCCCCTACAATTAAAAAGGTCTCTCTGCCACCAAAAGAGGCCTTTCTTCCACCACCTAAAGAGTTCTCTCCTCCACCTAAAGAGGTTTCTCCTGTGAGGCTCAAACAGTCCTCTCCTCCTCTGTTTCAAGAAGTCCCCCCTACCCTTGATAAAGATGTCTCCCCTCCACTGGTTATCAAGGTCTCCCCTCTGCCTCCTGAAGAGATCCCCGCTCCATCTGCTGAAGTGGTTGCTCTATCGTCTTCTAAAGAAGACGCCTCTCAATCTTCTGAAGGAGCGACACTTGTTAGCAAGCTCAATCCACCACAAAGTATTCCACCTCCACCACCGCTCCCATCACAACCCCAGTTGTCAGAGCAGGATGTTGATGTTCCTCAAGAGAATGTCCTCTCAGCTGAAACTAACCCAGTTTCATCAAGCAGTATTCTCACTCCCCCTCAGAGTATTCCACCTCCACCTCTCATAGACCTTCTGCACCAACCTCAAGTTGTACCCTCGAACACTGATGGTCCAGCAACCAACGAGGCCCCACTTTCGCCACCATCTGAAATCTCAATCCCACCAGCTCCTGAAACCTCTCCTACACCAGAAAAGGTTCAAGAACCTGCTCCTTCTCCATCTGTAAACATCCCTTTACCTCCACCTCTACCTGTGCAGGGTCTTACCAGCGTTAATCACCAGCCTAGTCAAGCGAGCACAGAAAACCAAAGCCAAGAGCCAACCCCTGCCAGCGTTGTACAGGAGGAACCCACTCCCATTGTCACCCCCTCCCTCCTGCAGATGGTCAAGTTGCGGTCCGTCAACAGCAGTCCTGAGCCCCCTAAAGCTCAAGAGCAACCACAGGCTGAGGTCACAATGAGGAAACAGCAGCCCAGCAATCAGGTCCCAACTTCATCCGCTAGTGGAGAAGCTCCTCAAAAGCCCATCAGAAGGTCTCTGATAATGACCTCTCCCCCACCCACTTCTCCATCTGTCATTGTCACTTCACAAACGGCTCTGCCCAAGTCCCAATCTCTTGTGGCTCCATCTGCATCTTCATCCACAGTCACCTCCCCTATGAAAAAGTCTCCTCCTGCCATGACTGTCTCTCCTTCCATGAACCTACAGGAGGCCATCCGCCTGAGGACAGCAGCCAGATCAAAAGAGAGCCCTGTATCTCGCCTCAGCCTGCACTCACCTACATCACCGATAGACCTCCGTAAGTCCCCCTCTAGCACAGCAAGCTTTATCTTCTCCAAGAACAACAAGAAGGTGATGATTGAGAAGAAGCCGGCACCGGAGGCCAAGGCAAATGTACAGAATAACCTGGAGGTTTCCTCTGTAACAAAAGTGGTGAGTGAAGCAGAGTCGGTGAAGAAGGGAGGCAAGGTGCCACCACCGGTAGCAAAGAAACCCATATCGAAGGCCAAAGAGAATGAGACCAGTGAAGAAACGGAGCAAACTGCAGGACAGCAAGCCCAGGAAGAGAGTATCCAAGGTAAGAGATATTATTCTCTGTCAGACTAAGACTGTAATGCTGTAATGTTATTCGATTTGAAACAGTATGAACAAAACTCAGCCATGCTAGCAGCTCTGTGAAGTTGTACTTTGGCACAGCTTGGGCTGAATGCTTATGACAACATGCTAACTGAAATGCTAACATGCTGTTATTTAGGCTGCATTCATGTCATATTGTTTAGACTGTAATTACAAGCAAACTTACTCAGAAAAAACATTCATGTCATCCTCCAAACGGCAATTCTGAGAGTGTTAGCAAAATGGACACAAAACCATCATTGGTAACAGCTACATCTAAACAAAATCAAATAGTATCTTTTATAGAATAAATTCACCTCATTTAAAAAGAGCCGTACGCCATTCGGTTGTATATGGTTTCAATCAACAAACTGCTTCAAATACTAAACAGCAAATGTTGCTAATTTAGGCTTTTTAAATGATGTGTCTACAAAGTTAGTAGTGGGATTAACCAATTGGAATAATGGGGAACACACCTGAGTCAAATTAACACAAGGTTTTCCTGTTGTTTCCACTCTCCTGACATGAATACAGCTTTAGCAAGTGTAAGGTTAGCTTATTAGCATGCTAATATTTGCTAATTAGCACTAAATGCAAAGCACAGGTGAGCCTGATGGGATTGCCATCTGTATTGCATGTATTTGATCAGAAAACAAAGTTTTGAACACATTAAAGACATGAAAACTCAGGGGATCATTGAGGTTATTAAAGTTCATCATGGATTTAATGAATGAATGACTGTGCAATATTTCATGGCAATCCAGCCAACCAACATTGCCTTCCTTAGAGCTATGCCATTAGCTGGGCTAAAAATCCAATCAGTTATTGTTTTATTTTGCATCTCTATTGTATATGTCTTCAGCACCCAATTAAACTAACTGCCTTCATTCTCCAACCTCAGATGCTGCAGAGAAAACAAATGGGACAGCAGGTACTGTTGAAGGAGGAGAGACATCATCAACATGATTAAGACTGAAGGAGACTGGGAAGGACTTCACACGTAACACTGAATTCACTGCAAGTTGGTCTTTGTGTGAGAGAGACAAGAAACTGAATTTGGACAGATGACATGCTTATTTCAAAAACTACATTTTGAAACATTCTGGATTTTATAGAAAATCCTTCGAATGTCATGTTAATGGTGTGGGTCTTAAAGTACACATTTTGCTTTTTACTAAGAATAAATAGTTTATCTTCCTTTGCCAGAGGGCACTCTTGAGTTTTACTGTTGCAGGAGATGGGAATATACTGCCCTCTAGTGTCGAACAATGATTGTACCACTTATGTCCTGCTGATTCAGAGCTTGTAGTCAGTACTCATAACAATGGGACTTTTGGGCTCTCATCTGTAAATATAGCAACATTTTGTACATTTACCATATCCAGTAATGATGGATCTGTGCTTTAAAGTTCTGTCCCCAAAGAGTTTCCACACCAATAATATTTGTTAAAAAATTATTAATTATCTTAAGTTATTTTTCCTGTCATGTTCAGAGGAGGGTCTCCACAGACAGAATGTCATCTTTGCAATGTCGCATTAAACCCCACTATCATCATCATATCAATCAAGTTTGCTTGTATAGTTCGTAATCATAATCAAACATATGTTTTTCTCAAAAAAATCCCACACCATTTATGATTTAAAGCTATCCATGTGCATGACCACTGATTTCACAAAGAGACAGAGCAGACATCATAAATACTGAAATCATTGTTTTGGAGCACATTTTCTGCTGCTTTTAGTTACTGATCATGGAGTTATTGTGGCTCAAACAGTGGGATATTTCTGTGTTGAACTATAATATATTTGAAACTGGTTTCAGACATTGTAATGTAGTACATGATCATTTATAATGGAAAGAATAAAGATTTATGGACAAATGAAATCATTGACTGAGGAAGATTGCTGTCCAACACTGGCATGCATGCATTTCTTATTTCATCCCCGTTATGTTTTAGTAGCACCTAGTTTGAGACTCACCAACAATTACCATGTGCAATTTTAGAAAAGAAATGTTGTCTTAGTCTGATGTAAGTTATGATAAAAGACAGTTCGTCAGTTGCATTTTCATGTTTATTTTTATTGAAATGAAATTAACTAAGAGTTAGAACAGTCTCAGATTCTTTGACCTAATACTACCTCCATGTGAAATACCAAGTCATCTCCCTGTGATCTGCTACATCTGCCAGACCGTCATCTCTCTTCCACTCCACCTCATAGGCTCTTGTCCTCTCATCCTCCTCACCTCCATCTGTATACTTCCTGTTTCCTCCCTCACCTTCAGAGTCCAGTGGCTGCACCTCTCTCTGTAGGGTGACTTTTAGTTGCTCCAGCTGCGCCCAGTGACGGAGCACTTCACCTTCCTTCTGATTCAAATGGATCACCTGCTGTGTGTCAGAGATCTCATCTTCTCTTCCCTCAGGTCTTTCTTCCTCTTCTTCACCTTCAAAGAAATCCTCCTCTACTTCATACCCTGAGCCATCCACTCCAAACTCATTCGAATCCTTTACTTCTGCCTCTTTCCTCTTCTCCACTAAAACACCGTGCCTGAAAACTAGTTCCTCTAACTCTCTGTCATCTGTCATCACTTCAAGGATAACCCTGCTTTCCGCTTCATCTTCTTCAAGCTCCTCTTCCGTGTAGCCCTCTTCCTCTTCTTCATAATCATCATCATACTGAACTACATCTGCACTTTCCCACAGAGACTCCTGACCGTGCAGCTCATCAATGTGACGACTCACTGTAGTCTCGTCTTCTCTGCCCATGATGACCAGGGAGGGGCTGGCTGGTAGAAAATCATCTCCTGCTGTGTACGGCTGATCAGAGATTAGCAGCGACTCACTGCTGGCAGAGCCTTGGAAAAAAAAAATTCAAGATGTCAAAAGTCATTTTAAATGTTGTTTGAGTTGACTGTTAAAAGATATGACACTTGTAGTGCAAGAAATCAAAGTAGGTGCTTGAAGATTTGCTTAAAATCTAATAAATTCAAAAAAAGAAAAGAAAAAAAGACTGTCACAGACCTGACATCATGGCCCTCCGGGTTTTAGTGGTCACACATTGTGAATCACAGCATTCACATATGGAGTTGTCACCGGTGAGGGCCCTCCACCTATCACAGCAGAGGCACAAAATATGCTCAGTCCACTTGGAAACAGTGAAAAATGAGTCCTGGTAGGGGAATTACAGCACTGATGCTCACCTGTTCCCTCTGTAGGTGCAGGATTTGTGTGCAGGACTCGGTTCCTCTGATGTGACAGATAATTTGCAGTGAATGCTGACCTGAAATGGAGACAGAGTTAAGCCACAATCGCAACTGTGTAAATCCAGAAGAGCCATAGCTTCTTCAGTCTCACCTCAGTGTCAGGATCAGCAGTAAACTGGAAGGCCTTTAGGGAGAATCGCAGGGTCCTGTCTGTCCGATAGATGAACCAAGAGGCTCCTGGGTCTCTCTTGCTGTCCAGCATACAGCTATGGATGACACCAACATGACACTGATCCCAAATCGCAAATCAGGACAAGGGAAGAAAAAAAAACAAACAAGAAATTTTAAATACCTTACATACCCAAACTTGTCGATGATGGTGTATTTGAGGGATGATTGAGAGCCACTGGATGGTGTTGCATAGCAGCTACTGATGTACAGTTTTCCTCCAGAGGGGAGATGAGGAGCAGAGACCTGGACATTTACTGTCTGTCCAAGCTGGTACACGTGGGACTTGGCTGGTATGCTCCATGAATCTAACAATGGAGGGTATTACATCAAATTAAGCCACTTACTTCGAGATTTATAAAAGTCTGAAGGCTGCAACAGCTCTGAACTACAGGTGACACGTCTATACCAGCCATCAACTCGATCTGGAAGTCACTGGGACGCCCCTTCAGCGTTTTACGCACGACAGCAGTTTGCCAGGTGGGTTTCACAGCCAGCTGGTACACATGATGGTTCCTGGACAGGTTTTGCAAGGATGTTAGAAAGTTGGCCTTTACACACAAGATGTTGAAAATAGCAAAGAGACAAAGTCCAACCTCTGATAACGGCATTCAATGTTTATATCAATCCGGTGCGCCCTGCTAGGTAACCGTTTCGGCGAAGGCTCATAATGGAGCACGAATTTGTAGACCAGGTAACCCTGGGGCACCTGTCGCGCGGGGTCACAGTTGTGATTACAAGATTAAAGACGCTGGGTTTGCATAGTCTGGAAACAAATGTCACTAATGGTCATCTTACCTCGCGCACGGCATCACACGCTGTCAGAGGATACGTGAAGAGGATGTCACCGTACGGTCTGAGAACCCCGTTGCTTTTGCAGCTGCTGCCTAATTTCAGCTCCTGTGCATCTGCGCCCAGACCGTAGAAAGCTGGTTTGACCCGCACGACAAAGTCAGACGTGGAGCAGGTGACAGAGACGTCTGGGAGGAAAGCAAGGTGCGACCGGACCTTTGCCTCGGGCTTTACAGGGCGCATGGATCGAGGTGTTACAGGTGTGGGAGCAGGGTGGGGCCTCTTAGAGCTGAGCTGAGACAATGGAGCGGGTGATCTGTGGGGGGATTTCCTGTCGCCTGTTGTTGACAGTTTGATTGGATCGGATTTTGGAGTACCCAGTTTGAAAACCTTTTTCCTTCTAGTAAATTGAGATTCATAAGTGTCCGCTGCACAGCCGAGGAGGCCAAGTGATAAAACACTCCACAGAATATAGAGATGCCACTTTGTTTTCATTGCAACAGACTGCTGTCCTTCTACCTTTCCCTTTCAATGTGCGCGTGAAGCCCCCGCTCACTCACGGCTGGATGTAATTAGTGGAAGATAAATTGACTTCCTGTTTCCAAGCAGACGAGGTTTGTTTGCTTGTCTCCGAAAGGAACCATCGCTGTGAGAAGGTTCAACACAAGCCTCACATTAATATAGCCTACAATAAGACAAGGCTAAATGACAAAACCATACTAAATATAAACTAAAATGTCTAGCAAACAAAGCTCCTCCGGTAACCCACTGAAACAAGTGGTTAAATATTCTACACATAAAAAGGTGAGGTGGATTTTTTTTTGACAAACTTTATTCACAGACTTAAAATTACAAATGTACAGCACATCGCTTCTTCAGATTTATATATTGCTCATCATAGTCAGACTTAGAAAAAAATATTTACAATTTATACATACAGCAGCATATAAACACCAAGGAAAGATGTAATGTGCTTCCTTCAGTTAATTTAGTGCAACTTCAAAGGCCTAAAAAGGAAAACTATGCAGGAATATATTAAGGTTTAGAACTTAAATCTTAATCATTTATGCAGTGAGGGTCTGAGATCATTTGAGGTGAAATCAAGTGTACGAAAGTGAGGACAATTTTCCTGGATATAAGAGATCCTTGTAATAGAAAATCTGGGTTTGTGCTGCTGTTTTAGAGTCACAATACTATGAAGGCAGATGGTTTAATCACATTATGGCAACTTGTGATATTTTTTCTTACAAAAAGAAAAAATAAATGAAATGTTTTCCACAGGACTTCAAAATCACCCGGTCACATATCCATCAACAACCATTCGCTGTTAATAAATTATTATACACATGTGCTTTCATAAGAAAAATTATAATCCCTTACTTTAAATAAATAGTTAAATAAAGCATTTTTCTTCCCCTGGGAAGTGAAAACATGCTAGATGAAATGACTTCATACTGGAGTTGACTTTGCTGTAACAGCTTATTCAAAAACATCTTTTAAACCTGATGGAGATCAGCTATGTTTAAACACAAAAAGGTGTGATGGGAAACCCTTTTCAGTAGCAAAAAGAAAAATAAACCCAACAATCGGAGTAACAAGTTCAACAGAAAATCTCATTGCAAGTTATTATACAAGATGTGCTTATAAGGCAGTGATTCACATATTCTACATTCACTACATAATATCATGAGGTGCCTTTTCCCCTTTAGAAGATTCAAGTACTATTACAGTTTTTGCTTTGATGAAATGATCTATAGGCAACAACACAATCCACAGAAAAGTAGAAATTGGGGGAAAAAAGTGGCTCCATACATCTCCAATTAGTGGAATAGTGTTGGTATGCCCTTTATGAATATCGGCTGAAACTATATGTTTCCTTCAGAGAACTCTCCGAATGGAAAGTTAGAGCTGATCTCAGATATGGTAAACATCAAAGGTAATATCACACTCAAATCTGCACGAGTGAAGGTCTAATCTTGTAAACTAGCAAATAAATACTTCATAAAAAAAAAAATACCACAAATCACAAGCAGTGTCCCAATTCCAACCTTTTATAACCAGGTTTTAAGGATGTAGTGCAGTCACACTGGAGGTGTGACAAGAAGGAAGTAGAAAAGCACTACTGTCCCACAATGCAATGCACAAATGAAATGAAGGTGCTGCTTAAAACTAGTCAAGGTAGATAACATTGTATATAACTAAAGGACCATCTCAGTAAACAATAAAGTGACACATCTTTGGAAAAATAGTTTGATTTCTCTTTGTTGAGGAAAACGCAAACCAAGATGAAATGACTACAGCTCCCATGAGCCTTAGCCATTCACTTACAGGAGCTGTAGTTGGTGAAAATGTGTTTTATCTTTGTTAGAGTGATGGAGTGATAAGATTTTACTGTCCAGTTCAGTGGTAAAGACCCTTTTAGGTTAAAATATGGACAGATCCCAGTGTTGAGTTTCAGCTAAACAAGGAAAAAAAACCTGCAAAAAAATGTTGAAGTGAAAGCAACAAGAACAGAAGTTAACCCGCAACTTTGGCTCTACACTAATTGTGTATGTTTCTTAATTGTAGTAAATGCTGTTTAATTGGGACACAGCTGGAGATAAAGGAAAACAGAAAATACTTGAATCACACATAAGATGACACTGGGTGGCCACTAGAGGGCGACGTAAACCTGTGTAATCCACTGGAGGGAGACGATCAATGCTGATGATGTTTGGGCAGCAGCGGTATCTGCGGTCCCTTCTCTGTTACTACAGATAGTTGGTGGTCATGTCCCTCGACTGCCTGTGTAAACTTGTAAACCAGCAGTGGTGGTTGGCTCATCCTCCGCCAGCTACACGTTGCTCCCAAGTGCTGAAGCTTCTGACTCGGAATCTGTTTCGGAGTCCCTGTTTAAAGAACGGGAGAGCAGCCAAGAGTCACACACAAAGGATTTGGCTTGTGCAGACAGGGTGCAGGATACATGCAAACAACAGGACAAAGTTTATTTGAGTATTTCATTTGAATTTAGCTCGGTTATACAGACAGGAGCTGAATTTAGCATCTCACCGGTGTGTTTACTGTGGTCAGATATGAGTCCTGCAGCACAACAATAAGTGCCCACCCCTGTTAAGTTATCCCAGAATGAATTATAAACTACTGTGTGTGTGAGTGTTTATGTGTGCATTTCTCTCCTCACTTACAGGATCTTCTGCAGCAGTTTTTGGTTGCCATGCCTCCTCTCTTCATCAATAGGGTAGGTCCTCAATATCAACAGTCCCACAATAATAAGACACACAGGCACAGGAGACACCAGCACCTTCAGGGTTAAACTGACTGCCTCGGGTTGTGAGCAGCTCCCAGTCTTATAGTCGGCAAATCTGCGGAAAAATGCAGAAAGAGGGACAAAAGTTGAGCTGATGTGAGTACAGTTTGGCAAGATTGTTAGTTGGAGGATTATGTGATTGTTAACCACATGACCACTGGGACTGATGAGCTGTAATGTGGAGTTAATCTCATATAGCGTTAGAGATCACAGGTGTGCAGATTTTAGCTGAAGGCTGATTAAATTTTAAGGATAGTGAGGATGAAAACACAAATCTACATGAGAATAATTACAGAAGTTATACATGATCAAGAACGGATCAATTAACTTACTTCAAACTGAGGGTAGAGATACCCAGGGATATCCCAGAGGCAAACTTGATGAAGAACACATAGAAAGAGTAGAAGAGGGCTTCATGACCATGGATGTCCGGGTTCTTAACCTTGAAGTCATCCACTACATCAGGAAGCATCGACCTGAACGGACAAACAAGATTTAGAAGGAAAGTCAAGTCACGATCGACAAAAATCTACATCTGTATCTGTATCTAGGGAAGGAGCCTGTGAATGAGCTCGTGCTTACCAAGGCAGGAGGAAAGCTGCCGCCACGCTCACACCTGCCGCCACTGAGACCAAGTAAGACATGATGAGGTTGCTCTCGATGCAGACGATCAGGATCATGAAGGGTATTGCCCACTGTAGAAAGACACAGAGGGATGTGAGCAATTCAATAACAACCCATCCTTTTTACATGAATGTCTTTGTTGTGCCAAAAACAAGCATCTATCACTTACCGAGATGCCGAAGTAAGTTGCCGTCTTCTTCCCAAACCGGGTCAAAAACCACTGCCACAATGGGATGGTTAGACTCCCCGACAGCTGGGGAAAAAAATGAGACATTGAATTCTCAGTATTATTTCTCCATTAAACATTATTACATACATACAGACTGTAAACTGAGGGCTACCAATGTACTGTTTTAATGTATGGTTTGCAGCAGCACTAAGAAAAAGCCTTTGAATCTCTGTTTTCAGAACAGCCACAGGGAAGAGAGACATTAAATTCTTGAAGCCATATGGATTACGTTGCTTTTCGATCTGAATTTAATTGAAACATTGTGAGTGTACTCCCACGTTGCTGCCAATAATATGTCTAACATACATTTTGTATGTGGGAGAAAACCCGGGGTCAACCGTTGTACATGTAAATTAAATTCTGGTGAACATTAAGAGTGGAAAAAGAAAAGTTGCTTAAACAATGATCAGGGATTAAAATCAACTTTTAGTTTGAAATTCAGGTCCTGGATTGAGTCGTGTCATATCCTGTGGTGTATATGGTTTTATATAACCATGTTTTTATGTGGTTGCAAGAAAATGGTCAAAGATGCTGCATCTGATTAAAGGGCCTGATTTCTATTCTTATCTAATCTATTCTTATCTATCTAAAAAAAAAAGCTGCATGTAGGACTTGCAGTATTTTAAGACCTCATCATTTCTAAAATCCTGGCTGCAGCCCTGAGTATGAATATTAATCAAAGGAATTGTGTGAGATGGTTATCCCTAAAAGAAAATGATTCTCCACTGAAATCAATCAGACCTCGAACTGGGTTTCATCAAGGACTGTGGGAAATGTGGGAACCTGAGATAAAGTACCCACTGGAGGAGGAGGTCAAGGGACAAAGCTACAATATGCTTTGTGGGGGTCCTGAGTTGACCCTGAAGGGGGCAGACAACCTTTGGCCTCTTGGCCACACTTGCTCAACCAGTGTTAAATGACCACACAGGAACAAGACTGTCACTGAAAACTCAGCAGCCTAACAATCCATTGTGAGTAAATATTTCCATTCTGCCCCTCCACTCCCACCTCTCCAAATATGATACATGGTGTCCAAAAAATGTCTCCACTCCTAATCAGTGGGAAGGACCAAAGCAGAAACCACGAAGGGAGAAATGGAAACGAGGACGCAACGAATGGTTGCAGTTCCCATGGTGGCAGTGAGGGATCGCCTGGGCAACAAAAGCTCCACTGTGTGCCTGTCTCTCCCTTCATCTCCTGCTAACCGCGAGTGAATGTGTGGCTGGGAGACAGGTTCCCAGGAGCCCAAACAACACCTCCTCTCACCCTGAAAATCTGCCCTTTCAGCCCCGGTGCCACGCATCTCCTCGTGCGAGGAACAGCCTCAGAGAAACAGCTGAAAACCCCACAAACACTGGGAGTTTGATCTGTGCCACAAGGACAGCCAAACAGGGTTTTCAGGTGCAGATTGTACTGATGTCCTCCACATCTAATACTGATTAGGGATTTACAAGGAGGTAGATAGAGTCTTTCAGTGGAAAATGGAAACACTCACCATGATGACCAGGAGAATATTCTGAAAGTCGTTCCTGTGCCCAAGAGCGTAGGTGATGAAAAGGGCAAAGTTTCCCTCCAGTAGCTATAAAAAAAAATATGAAGTGTCACCTTTAAGCAAATTACAGTTACAGTTAAAGGGATAGTTCAACATTTTAATATAAACCAGTTTGCTTTCTTGCTAGGCAAGTTGTTTCCAGTCCAGCTTCGTATTTACCTTAAAGATGTGAGAGTGGTATGAACCTTCCCAGGTTACTCTCAACAAGGAAACCAACTACGGGATTCCCCAAAATGTTTTTCCTATTCTTTCAAATAAGACTCTACCTGTGACCTCTACATCCAACACAAGACAGATAATGAAACACAGCTTTACCATGAAGGCCAGAGAGGTGAAGAGGAATCCGATGACCAGTTTGACGTAAGGTGTGTGGCTCACCACCAACCACAGGCCCTGACGGAAGGTAAGGGGGACTGATTTTTTATGGCTGCTCTCTAAAATACAACATGGAGGAGAAGAGAACAAAGATAAGCCAGCTGAAAATCCCTGTTGTAAGAAATCTAATGCACAATAACAGCCACTGTAATGAAAGATAGTCTTCTAGTATTTGTCCAATTTGTATCTTGCAGTAGGTGTATTGTGCATGAGGTCAATATGAAGTCATACCATGTCAAAAAGCCCATGTAAATAATTCCACACTGACATTGAACTAATGACAACCTCTCTTGTTATCTCATGGATTTGTACCTTTTTGCTCCTTCACACCAAAAAACAAGACTCCAGCACAGAGGACGTAGATGATGGAGATGACCCCTGAAGCAAGCAAGTAAGCTTGTTTCTGAAGACAGAAAAGACAGCATTAGCTTGGACTAACACTCATGTAGATGCTGTAACAAGTGTTTGTAAATATCGTCATTTGTCCGACATCATGCACAGGGTGCAAAACTCTCACCGTCTCCTCCAGTGAAACACCGGACGCGTTGTATGCCAAGGAGTTTCTGCTGTCGGAGACATCAGGCTTAGTGGAACAATCTGAGCCGCCACCCACAATCTGACCCTGGATTGCGGTGCCCAGCACTGTGCCCATCACCTCCACCATCATACCTGAGAGCAACACAGGAGTGGAGCGTTAGAGCATGAACGACAACACATGTAAAACCTCTGGATCACACAGGATGGCTGACGTACGATAGGCAGTGGCAGAGTCCCTCTCTTTATGGTCACTGCTGATGAACATGGTGAGGGCTGAATATGGCACATGGAAGCACTGTGAACATAAACAAACACGTAGTTAGACAAGGGAGCAGAGATAAAAGAACAGAGCACTGGGCAGAGTCAACATGAAGGACTAACCGTCTGCATTGACTGGAAGAGGCAGTAAAAGATCAGGTACCAGATGACCTTCCCTTGCTCAAATGGAGGCACATACCAGATTAGGAAGTAAGTCACCACCGCAAACGGAGTAGAGGAAAGGATCCTAGGAAGAACAGGGTACAGGATTGTTTAAGAGACAAAACCAAACAAAGATATTGCTTCTAATGTGAATTTCATTCTGTGCTGTTAGGCTTGAAACAAAAAGTGCTCGGCCTTCTGTTTCCTGCCGTTAAAGAGTGTGTTTAATGAATTCTGCCAACTGTTACTGTACTTTAACCCCCCACTTTTCATTTCTCCTCCCTTGCAGCCAATTCTTTTCTACTCTCTCCCACTCGCTTTGTGAATAATAATCCCCCTAATCCTGCCTTGCTGGAGCTCGTGTGTGGTGAAAGGGCTCAGTCTGGGCTGCAGAAGGAGATGAGGGTGGGCTGACCAACGACGAAGCCGCTTTGGCCCACCTCACTCTCACCCCCCACTTAGTTTCACTGGCGTTTCCACCGGCTTTGTATGCCCTCCAGCTGACCTCAGTGCCAGGGCTTGTTCAGAGAAGCTGGTGCCACTTCAGAAACTTGTTTTTAAACAGACCATAGTCCAGCTGCATCTCCCAGTGAAGATGAGGAAATCTTTTACAAAAGCCCCTTCACAGTGAGGACTTAGGCATGGCTGCAGGGCAGTGGACAGAAACATTACAAGATATTTTTGTGCCAACAGGAAACCACATGTCTCTTGTTGGCAACAATTTGTCAGTTATCCAGTTAGTTTATTAAAAAGAAAATAATTGGCAACTCTTTTGATAAACGATTCATAGTTTAAGCCCCCCCTCCCCTGTTCTGGTGTGGCACATGTGGGAAATAAGTAAGAAAGCACCTCCTGATTTCGCTTAATGTCTGAGCAAATTAGGTTAATGAGAGCTAATTTATCTGGAAATAGAGGCCAGGTTGTGATTGTTTCATGGCTGACTGAACACAGGCCATGGTGCTAAGGTCAGTAAGGGCCAGGAAATGACCTTGATACATACAATAAATTACACTAAGTGCACACACACGCACACACAAAAAAACCCCTGTTATTATCTCAATGTAAAATGTTGACATCTGCGAGTTCTTATCAGACATCTAGTTGTTTCACTTCAGTTTGAAAACCGACACGGGCCACAGAGGATCATGTACATGTTGCCTTTTTTAACAATGACCTCCAGTATTTCAACCAAGCACTTGACCCAAAGTAACCTCTCTCTGCTTCTGCCAAACCCCCCTCCACCCCACCCCAAACACACACACACAAATGGACACACCCCTTACTCATTTGAAGCTGATGGTGTGTTGTGGGCTTGACCAATCACAGAAGAAGTCTGTAAATTCCCCTCCCCCAACCCACAATGTGCGGAGCTTGTGCACAGCCGGCATCTCTGACTCAAATATCCACGATGCTCAAGATATCACTGTGACATCATGTGAGAGAAAATGCCAGCATATATAGTTATTGAACCAGACATTCTCGTAACACTGTCACGCTTCACTCTCTGTTGCCCTTCTCACACATACACATGTGAATGAAGCTGTGCCTATTTAAGAGCAGGATGTCAAGGTCATCTCAGCTGTCAGCATTACACGGCCATATTATTGTGGTTCTATAAATTTGGTTACAGAAGTCATTTTATGCTCTCAAGCAGAGGATTCAAATTTTACAGTTTTACGGTCTGCAATGTTTCTTGTTCCATGGTGACCCTTTTAAAGCTTAAATAAAAATATATTTAAACACATGTCTTGCCTGTTCAAGAAGCAGAGGCCAATATGGACATTTAGCAAGAGGTAGGGATACCCTTGACAGGTTGCCAGCTGTATCACGAGGCTAGCACATGTACAGCAGACAAACGGGGAATCTCTAGAAACAGAACTACATCCAGTTTGTTTATAGAAAGAAATTTTGCTGTACTGTCTATACCAAGTTATACATCTTTAATATCTACCTAATATAGATTTTATTTTCATTAATGTGACTATAGCTTGAATTTATCTGGTATTTCATGCACCATATTAGCCACAGCCAGACATTCTCTTCTGCCTATTTCATCTATAACAGATAGAATAGCACATTTCATCTATATTGACAGTGTCTACACATACATATACAGGAAATTAAAGGCACCCTGTGGACTTTTTAACCACTAGTAGCGCAAGGGAACAATGCGCATGAGGACAGACATGCAAAAGCGTGTAGGTGACATGACACACATAAATAAACATGACAAATGTTAACAACGCATCAACAATTTAAATATTTTATAAGGAAAGAAACACACTAGACATGTTTGTTAAGCCTCAAGGACACAAATAATACAGTTTGATGAGTAAAACTAAATGTTTTCTTTGCTTACAAGAAAACGCCACTGGACACCTTTAAAGTTTGCTCTTGGTACACATCGTTAAATTTATGAGTCCCTCTTGTAGCCTATTTAGTGATACGCTTAAAAGCTTGTCCAGCTGTTTCATTCATTTTCACAGAGCCAAGTCTCTTCAAAAAATAAACCACTTATCTTAACTAAAAGTTAAAGCAGATGGTTGATACCACCACACATCTGCGTCCATAAACAGGTGACAGACAAGTGCAAATGCTTTGTCTGCTTTCACCTTCTTTTACCACTTTTAGCATGCGTCATAAGGACTGCTGATGCACACTTTACATACACCTTTTCATAAAGACTGCATTCTTGCACTTGTTCTCCCTCAGTAGCCACTTCAACCATGTTGCCGTGGTTACCGCTAATGGCTTGTGAGCTGCTTTTTGTCAGTACATTTACCTCACACTTCTCATGCACACATTTTCAGTATTTCCTTAATAATGTCATCTTTGCCCTGTGAACCTAGTCCTGAAGTGAATTTGCTGCTATGAGATTCAGACACCCACCACGGCATCATACGTCCGATCCTGGTCCATCTACTCCGGCTCACCAGGAAACCCACTGTTGGGTCTGTGACAGCGTCCCAGGCCCGGCCCACAAACAGGATGATGGAGGCATAGAAGGGATCCAGCTAGAGGGAAGAAATGGAAAAAAGAGTGAAGCATGAAACCAAAACAAAGAGCCAATACTACCTCATATGGCACTGCTGAATAGATGTAGGGAACGGCTCAAAAGAGTCATGACATCAATGAGGTTATGAAGACATTTTGAGGCTGTGTACAACGGCTTGTTTAAGAACAGAGTAGCATTCAAAGCCACTCTAATGATCTCATCCCCTGATCTGAATGGCCTTTATTGAAGTTCCTACTGTGTACAGTGGAAAGGTCTAATTTGCTAATTGAGTAACAAAGCAAAGCAGCACGGGTCCAGGTTAATGTGCTTGACCAAACACTACAGGATGAAGTCTGTTAAACTGATCCCAGGCTGAGAAGAGTAAACACAAGCTATGGCCTTAAAGCTCATTAGTGTGTGCTGCAAAGAAGCTAAAATATAAAGATAAGTGAATGAGTGTATCCTGCAGAATAAACAAATGGATGAACTTTGTTATGAAGAATAGTGAATAAAAATGGACTTTCATTTGCCACTTTATGTATTCCTACAACTTTTTCCAGTTGTACAAATGCATTTTTTTCTTAATAAGTCAAAGATTTATGCCAGAAATGTTTATATAGCACAACAAATGATGCTGAAAATTATGATTTGACTTTTGTAATGCTCCCCTTTTTGTGTAGCTTTTGTCAATCACCTGAGCCACATCCAGGAGGTAGATCTGGAGGAAGAAGCCCAGAGCACTGCCCGTGATCTGGTAGGGAGCCCCACCTATTGCATAGCATAGTTTGCTGCACACAGACAGACGATTTCTCTGTTCCCTTGGCTGGAAGAGAAGAAGAGGGGAGGAGAGGAGATGTGTTATCCAGTTAGATGCACAAAATATTATGACTCCAAACTAACTGCAGACAATAAAATGCTTATATTCTCAGAGGAGATATAAATCAAGGTGAAGTGATGTGGGCAGTGGTGTACAACATGATCATTATCTGCATTTCTATTCTGCTCTCAGGAGTTTATTTAATCCCTGTTTTCTGCTTCAACTACCCTCATCCATCCCTTTGTCCATAACTCTTGGAAAACTGATGGTGTGTTAAACAACCTGTTACTGTGAGGGGCTGAGATTGGCTAATATACCTCACCCCACTGCTCACAATGTCAGATTAGAGACAGATTAGAGTGACGATGCAGTGTGGGCCTATACGCTCCAGTCAGAAAGTGGTGTGAAACTATGAGGTTACTGTAGTTCACACATACACCCACTACATCATGAAGACTCCAGTGCAGCCATTGGCTCCAGCAATAGGATGTTGGAGGTAGTATGACATTACATGCCGAGTAGCTAACAGTCAGCAGCGACAGCCAATCACCTGTAATGGTTTGATGATGTCAGCAAGGGGGGGGCTTATAGTCCTCAATTCACATCCGCCACAGACACAAAAGCAGAATCACCTCATGTTGGAAATTGCTGCCTCCTCACACATCACAGAATGAATAATATACTCTTCTGTCACATCCGTCAGCATACCAAAACCACGCTGGCATAATCATCGGCACTAAAAATAAAAACTAAAGCTAAAGAAAGGAATGCAGCCTCTAGGCAACATTTAATGACGGAGGAAAATTCTCACAGACACCATTTCCTAAGTGAATGAGAGACATTTGGGCTATAACTTTGTTATCCAGTGTTGTCCAATGTAATTTCCCAATGAGACACATATTTAAATTGTTCATTTTATCCAACCATCAATCCAAAATCAAATACTTTTAATTCACTATCATATATGACATAAAAAAGCTAGAAAATACTCACACTAAAGAAGCTGAAACTAGTAAATGTTTTATGATAATAAATTATCAAAATATTTTCTTAAATTTACAGCTGAAATGTCCTGTGATCTGATAATGCAATTATATTTTAGGATGTAGATAAAATGCAACACGGTCATACCTTTTCATTTAAAATACCAACACTTGGTAATTTTCTGGAGGCTATTAGACATACACACTTGTCATTTTAAGTCATTGTAGTCTTCTAGACTGCTTTAATATACATGTAAGTGTGTGTATAATCATTCCAAATATTTTAGAACTACAAATGTCATTGTTGAATATGTACATGACTTTAGCCTCCCAAACCAAATGATTCCTGAATTCGCATCATGCAGCTCTGGAGCAGCAGCACCACTTCACATTTATGCAGCGCATCTGACAGTATTAGGCTTAAAAACTGCTGTATTTGACAAGACTTTACAGTGTGAGGGGAGTCCTCAAATGTTTAATTAAAATATGGCCCCTTTAAAGCCGGTCAGCCGGTATGTCAACCTCACAAACAGCTGCCCGAGGACAGACATACAAACCGGGTGAAATTCAAATCATTCCGGGGAGTGGTTGAGGTGTAAGATGTCTAATGGAAGTGCAATTTATCAAACATTCAAATTAGGCGCCCTTTTAAGCTCCTGGATAATTTGGGGCCAAACAGAGACCCCACTTAAATTCAGTAACACCAGAAATAAAATATATATCTCCCGTGGCTTACCTTTGCTGTCTTGACTTCTGTATTTATAGGTTTGACTGATAGCAAACTCGCAGCGTACTGCTCGGCGCCCTCTCCTCGTGCCATTGTGATTTCAAAACGATGAAGTAATTAATTTCTCTTTGTAGGTATCGTAATATTTTTTAGTGTCAGAAAGGAAGAAAGCCGCTTCACAGCGACATAGTGTACTGCTCAGTGCTGAGTGTGTGTGTCCGTCTCTAACTCAACATTCTTGTGTGTTGGTGGTCGCGGCAGTTCATTCATTCTACTGCACCGAGTCTCTAACCGCTGTGACGTGTCGTGATGTGACGTGACGCGACGCGACACGCGCGTTCCATTTCTTTCAAGGGAAAATATTCCTCCGGAAACTTACGTGTATATAACTACTGTTAAAAATCAGGTGATGAGAAAGTGAACTGTAAAACTACATTAGTAGCCACTTTATCTGCCATTTAGAATTCTTTGCTCGACATTTTACAAAAATTAATTATCACCCATCACCCAAAGACACATTTGCTGTAAATAGATTTCTAATGGATGTTTTTCACTGGAAAAGTCGAAAAACTACGTTGAAAGTCTATTTTTAAAGTGTATGACTTTACAATTAGACCTTAAACACAACAGTAATTAATGAGGCAAACTAATGTTTGCAACTTTTTCTTTATCATTTTTTCCTTATCATAATTTTAAAGTTTTTATGTGATATTTTTAATTTCATCTTTTTTCATTTAAAACTGCTTTGAAACTGTTTCAACACATTCACAGTGATGATGACATCCCAGTGATGAGCCAAAGTATAAATCTTGTCACTGTACACAGCAAAGTGAAAAATTATGACAATGACTGGTTTCCACTTAAATGCGTCAATGACACAGTTAATAGTGGACAGACATAGTTGGGGATGACCCCTAACCCCAATGATGATGCGTGAGGAGTCAATCATCATAGACGCCCATGTTAAAATGCCCTAACTCATACGCAGAAATAAAAACATGTTTATAACCTGGCACAAAAACCATAGTCTCTATAGCTATATAGTCCCCCTTTATGACAGCTGTAGGAGTTGTGAATTTTTATATATCTCACCCGTTTAAATTCTATTTTTTAAAGTCTTAAAGTTATGCTTAATTGAGGGCGTGGCCGCTTATAGTGACAGGTGGGTCCTGTATCAGTCCACTAGCTTCCTGCCCGGCGTCACCTCAGCTCGCAGTGTTTCTATTATTGGTGCCTTTTGGGTGATTTTGCACAGAAATATCGGACAAATGATATGCCTTACTGCGGGTAATTGACAGAACATGAGGAAGTCTGTGCTCCTGTTATTCGAGGTGAGTGAAATTCTAGTGTTATTTTATTTATGTTAGCACTCATTAGCATGTATTAGTGCCTGCGCTCACCATACCTAGCTTGTTAGCTTAGCTTGTTAACTAGCTAATTAGCTAGCAGATTAATTGGCTTTGAGTTAGCCTTCGAGCAAGACACTTAGCTGTGCTAACGATGCTAATGGGAGCGTATGGGTGTGCACCTAAGTTTCGCTCCACTAACACCCCACCTTTTGCCTATTTTTGGATTAGCCGGGAGTTAAATGGAGTCAGGCACTGTCAAGATGGCGACAGTGGAGCAGTCCACTCTAAGCTTCAAAACCATTCTTCAGAAACCTATGGTTAATGTGACGGAGGCTACATCCATCTGTACAGTCTATGGTATGTACCCATGATTTGTCATCCATATAACTTCTAACCTGTAGAGGGTGTTACTGTTGTCCTTGCCCCTCCCTCTGCTAATGTAAATCAATGTCAATATTAGGGCCTAACAGGGTGTTAGTGGTTGCAGGCATTCACTCTCAAGCCCCTTTCACTCCACTCATGCACGGTATCACAATGCATAATAATTTAATATTTAATAGAAGTCATACAGTGGAAATAAGCCAATTCATATCTGTAGAAGAGAAATTCTGCTACCTCTAGTCAACTTCCTGCAGCCACAAAATCAGTTTTAAAATCCATCATTTAGGTTAGTGAGAGTTTGCTATAAAATAAAAACAAAAATCTCTTGGTTTCTTTTTTTAACAACCTGACACTGTTATCTGGCACTGAAAAAATAATAATAAAATCTCCTATGTGGTACACTCATGTTATAAGAGAACAGACTCAAAATTGGGATTTTTGTGTGTGAACATCGGACACTATTGCCTTACCTGGATGTCAGAAGAAGTCATGAGTGAAAGTATGAAGACTGGACCAAGTGGTGATAAAGTCCTCTCTTGCTGAAAGGATTTGTCCTATATCTTGTATCTCTATATTATATCTAAAAGCTGGACAATAAATATATCAAGTGGAGAGAGATAGCTGATCTATTCTTGACCCTTGGCAGTTAATATGTCCAAACTGGGAGCCTCTCTGAAACCAGATGCCACCTGTTTACTTTCACTTTCACCTCTTCCATGCTGAAAATAACTAATTGCATCGTAGCATTTTATTTCATGAAAATTTGCAGTAAAACAGTGTTTTTCCTTTTCAGTAGTAGATGTAAACTTGTGAATGACAGTAGGTTAAGTAGGAATTCAGTCTTAAAGTTGCACAATGTTTTAATACCATTGCCTTGAAAAGCACTGCATTTGATGTGTATCTTATAACATTTTATACATACCTTTATCTTGATTGCCAGTAAAATGTGGTGATGGAGCATTTTCATTCTGTCAGTGTCATTTGGCTTATATATGATCCTTGTTTATATTTGCTTTACCATTTTATTTGTTTATGGCCTCCTTTCTAAATATGTTTCTCACTACAAAAACTAAATATCCACAAACACACACCCTTTTCACTATTTGCACAGACCAAATGGGAAAGAGGAGTATAAGTAACTGAAAGAAAACCTGCTCTTTCTACCTTCCCTTTTATATTTAATCTGATGATTCTTTTTCATCTCTATCATTCAACAGCACTGCTAATCAGAAGTTAAAATGCAATCGCTATGTCTTGGCTGAGGCGCTGTGCTGCTTCTCTTCCGAAGAAGACACTTAACTCGAAATCATGACACCACGTATTGCAGTTTCCATTCACCCTTAAAAAACTTGACTTTAAGATGAAAGTGTTTAAAAGACGCATGATACTCTATGAAGATGAAATCAAAAGAGGCTCTGACAAATTCAAACACCCTGTGTTGGAAACAAAAGATGAGATACATGTCCAGAAGATATGTATCAAGTTCATATCATTTGGTAATGATCTAATGATAAAAACATATGTTGCCCATCTGAGTCACTATTAGACTGCACTCGTCCTTGAAAGAACATAATTTTCTGAAGACCTGTAGAAATAAGTCTCTTTCCACATTATAGTCTGGCTGTTACAGCGACTGTAGGTCTAGTTATGTCACCCTCATTTATATTGACCCAGCTAGAGTGAAACAAAGCCCACATGGTTGAGTTTGGGGAACTTAGCTGGTCTTATGACATACAATAACCTAAAACATCTTAATCCTGCAGATTTGTTCCAGCAAAGGTGGAAGGAGCCACATATAATTACACCACTTTATGTAAATGAGTAACCATGAGAACTAAGGAGTGATGCACTTAAACTTGCATTTAAACACACACACACACACACACACACACACACACACACACACACACACACCCACACACACACACTTGCATAGGGTGATTTTAAATACATATGTATTTTCACTCCAGTCTAAAACACTGCTGAATTTCATATATTTTTGAAACTAACCTAATGTTTTCATTAACCCTCACATATACATTCCTACTCTTTTGTCATGTCTAACCTCAAAATCAGGATGGTTTTTAGATTCATATTTGTAGATAATCATGGTGTATGATAATTACAGTATGGCCAAAAGTGGACTAAGTGACTTGAGGGAAACCCCTCCACCAGGGTAGTGGCTGCATTGACTGAAGATGTTTTCAGGAAAGGATTTTAACAGGGCCTTTTTTCACCTAATGTGTGAATCGACAAGGTTTTGTAATTGTATGGGATGATGTCATCATCCCAGGGTGGTGTCACTTTTCCTTCCATCTTACTCTCCATTTCTCACAGAGGAATTAATTTCCTCAGAGAGGTGGAAGGTTGTGAGCTTTCTGCAAAAGTTACTTAAGTATAGTGAAATGTGAGTTAACATTTGTACAAAACTGTAACATGTAATCGACATTTTAATGTTGCAGGTGGTCTGTTGGAGCCAATTTTAAGTTCTTTTGATAATGTAGTTTAATTGAAAACATTTTTCGAGTTTTATATTGCTAGGATTATCTTGAAGAGAGAAATTTTTAGGCCATTTCATACTGGGGTGAGGTATTTAGTGTGGTAGGAGACCTACTTTCCAGCTTTTTTGTTTGGGGACCTGAATGTGTCATGTGTGCTCTTGTGTCCTGAAGCAGATCTTAGAGCAGGGTTAAATGTTTCATCTTTATGGCCTAAACATAGTTCCTCAAAATCTTTAGTCTTTTGAGGAAGGCCTCTTTTTGCCCTAACCTCAATCAACAATTTCCTCAAAATCTTAAAAATCTATTTTGCTTCTATGGTATGTACCCATGATTTGTCATCCATATAACTTCTAACCTGTAGAGGGTGTTACTGTTGTCCTTGCCCCTCCCTCTGCTAATGTAAATCAATGTCAATATTAGGGCCTAACAGGGTGTTAGTGGTTGCAGGCATTCACTCTCAAGCCCCTTTCACTCCACTCATGCACGGTATCACAATGCATAATAATTTAATATTTAATAGAAGTCATACAGTGGAAATAAGCCAATTCATATCTGTAGAAGAGAAATTCTGCTACCTCTAGTCAACTTCCTGCAGCCACAAAATCAGTTTTAAAATCCATCATTTAGGTTAGTGAGAGTTTGCTGTAAAATAAAAACAAAAATCTCTTGGTTTCTTTTTTTAACAACCTGACACTGTTATCTGGCACCGAAAAAATAATAATAAAATCTCCTATGTGGTACACTCATGTTATAAGAGAACAGACTCAAAATTGGGATTTTTGTGTGTGAACATCGGACACTATTGCCTTACCTGGATGTCAGAAGAAGTCATGAGTGAAAGTATGAAGACTGGACCAAGTGGTGATAAAGTCCTCTCTTGCTGAAAGGATATCTTTTGATAATGTAGTTTAATTGAAAACATTTTTCGAGTTTTATATTGCTAGGATTATCTTGAAGAGAGAAATTTTTAGGCCATTTCATACTGGGGTGAGGTATTTAGTGTGGTAGGA